AATTCGACTCCAACACCTCACCGAACTTCTCCCAGGAATCAGTCTTGGCTTTTGCCACTGCTATGGCTGCACCCTTGGGTGCCTCGACATATCGCACGCGTGTATTTGGCTCCTTGTTTCCAAGCGATTTCTTGAACGCTGCTTTTTTCTCTTTAACTGCCAGTTGTACCTCTTGTGTCCACCATAAAGATCTTTTCTGGCCTCCAGGCGGCAGGACCACCCGTTTGTATCCGCACCATTCAGCGGCAGCCTCGAGTATGCCGTTCTTAAAGAGCTACCACTCAGTTTTAACATCAGTTGTCATCCCTCGGATCTGTTTAAACCGTCGTGCGATGTTGTTTGCAAATTTCGGTCTCGTATTCCCCGAAGATATTGTTTCCCACTTAGTTCTCCGGAAGCTTCTGCCACCAGATGTTCGCATGGTACTCCATTTCTTACAGCGCAGCTGCCAACAGCAAAGTGATGATCGGTTGATAACTCTGCGCCTCTCTTAACCTAAAGATCCATTACTGAACTTCTTAGGTCAGACGATACGATTATCAAATCGATCATCGACTTCTGTGCACGAGCCTCCCTGTACCAAGTATACCGATGCACTCTTCGATGCTCCAAGAAGGTGTTCAATGTGGACACAACGTTGTTTGTACAAAACAGGAACAACTTCATTCCGTTAGTGTTGAGGTAGCTACAGCCGTTTTTTCCAATCATGCCGTTTTACTTTCCAGCGTCTACTCCGACATGCGCATTAAAATCGCCAATTGGTTTGAGGGACTCTGTGTTCAGCACTTCAGACAATCCACACTGGACTTCCTCAAGGAAGGTCTCATATTCTGCTTCCAAATTGGACGCACATAACTGTACCAACGTCTTCGATTTAGCCTGTTGTAGCTTCACTCGGAGGATTACCACCCTCCTGCTGATAGGCTTCCAATCGATTATTCTACCGGCAAGGTTGGGTTCTACCAGAACGCCAACACCAGCCTGAGCGCGAGTCGTGATA